CCTACAGGCTCATGGCTGCTCAGACCAGGAGACAGGGCCAGGGACCAGAGCAGGTGGGGGCTTGACTGCCTGAGCCCATTCCCCATTCCGAGGCAGACAGGTGGCATGAAGGGCAGGGGCCATGGGCACACCCCGGGGCCAGGCTGACAGTGGTCTCCAGTTGGGAGGGAGCCCAGCCATGGTGTACATTGAGGCTGCAGCCACGAGGAGTTGTAGCAACTCGTTAAGACTCAAGGAGCCCCGGCTCCAAGAAGAGAGTCTGCAGCCAAGCAGAGCAACACTCCCATGGTGGAGGGCGACCTCTGCTGGCCATGCTGCACTCACCACTTCCCCACGCCAGGCAGCATGCTGGAAGCCCAAGGTGCTGGGATGGCCTTGAAAACACGTGGATGGGTTTGGACAAGTTGCATGAAACTAAGGGGACATCTTTGTGGGCCCAGACACAGAGTTCAGTGGGGACTTCCAGGAGGCTCCAGGGACTTACAGTCTTGGAGAAATGGAAAGAACAAACAGAATAACAGAAAGGTAGAAGGTTTGAATTTCAGACCAATACTTTGCTGGCTGTGTGACCCTGGGCAAGTCTCTTCACCTCTCTGAACATGAAGGATTAATGATTAAGTAAATTAGCAATGCACAGGGCCTGGCCTTCTGCCTGAACATAGCAGGTGCAGAACAAATGGAAGATGCCAGACTGTCCCCCAGTGAGTTACTCTCTCGTGCCTCCTTCAACCCACCCCTCCTTCCTCCATTTCCAGGACCCTTAGCATTCCAGGCCTTGACCCTGCAAGGACTGGAGTCACCATTCCTAGTGTTAATTACCCCAATTTTCCATTGATCTCAGCAGTTTAAAAATGTCATCTTAATCAGCCAAGCAATTTGTTCTTTTATAGATTAAGACACAACACGCAGTTGTGCTTATGATCTCTGATGTTTCTCCTGCTAGCTGCCACATACCCTTTGAGTCTCACAGACATCCCAGGCCCAGCTGTTCATTTCTTGGTTCCTATAACATGGAGCCCTGACCTAGGAGAAAAGCCCCCTGGGATCTAGATCCAGCCCAGACATGCTGTAAGACCTTGGATGAACCACTTATAGGCCTCAGGTTCCCCAAAATTAAGCCAGCTGGATTGTTAGGGTGGTAGGAGACCTCACCTCACCTCTGGCAAATGACATTCTGAGAATCTTTTGAATTCAGAAGCCAACTCAGTCCAGCCACAGGCCGCCAGGCAGGATTGCCTGTGAGTTGACCTGGAGACTGACCCAAACTTGATGGTTCTGTTCCCCCTTTTTGCTTCCTAAAGTGAGACCTGTGGCATCCCCTGCCATGGCTCAACAGGGAAGAACAGCCTCTAGGTCCCAAGGGACTGCCTGGGTGGATGTAGGCTCCTAGTGCCTGCTTGGGGTTTTTCTGAATGGGCTGAGCATGCCCAGGCTCCAGAAACGATCTGTCAGTCATTCAACAAGCATTTATCAAGGCTTCACTAGGCCTCTGACCTTAGACAAAACAACATCCATACCCATCCAAGGAATCTTTCCTCCTCAGAACCTTGTGAAGCCACCTGATACACATCCTCACCATCCTGCTCTACAAATGGGGAAACCAAGGCCTACAAGCCAGAGAAACTTGCTCAAAGTCCCTCTGCAGCTACTCAGATGCTCACTGCAGAGAAGGACCCTGAAGACAGAGCCCCAGAGCTCCACTTGGTGCCGGCCGCTAGCCCTCCGAACACATAGCTTCATCAGCAGCGCCCCCTGCTGGCCTTTTGTGCCACCACAGGCCCTTTGTCCTGTTTGGCTGCAGCCTGTGGACAGGGGAATTGAGGCCTGCAGAAGCCCTGGTGTTTCTTTGTACTTCCCTCCAGGCTCCTCCAGAGCTAACCCAGGCCTTTGTTTAATGGGTCCCTTTACCTTGGCGTCCCTACTCCACTGGCTGTGGAAACTGCACTCTAATTGGGACCAGTGGTCACCCATACCCAGGGAGTGGGAGCTGGGCCCTCCCAGCCCACTGTGTACCATGTAGTGCCTGGAAACCATCAGGGTCCTTCCACTCAGATGGCATCCAACACTGGGAACTGAAGTGGCCTCAGCAAGGGTGTCTTTGGCTTGCTCCTGCTCTGGACCCTCCCATGTCCCTGCTTCCCCCATCGATCCTTGTCCCTGGGAACCCTCACCATGTGAGCACTGGCTGAGGCTCTGTGCAGGTAAATTCAAGAGGAAGAACTCAGCCCCTGCTCAGGATACCTGCAGGTGTAGCATGGGGAGTGACTCCCTGGCCACTTCTTCCCTGACTCACACCCACATGGCAGCAGCCTCCAGCAGGGACCCCTGGCTCTTCCCTGGTTACTGCACAGAAGTTTAGGTTGTAATGGGAAAGTGAGGACTCTGGAGCTGCTACTACTATCCCCTCTGAGCCTCAGTTTCCTCATCTGTAAAGGGGGATATTATACCAGTGTCTGCCTATGCCCAGTACCTGGGCCAGCACCTGACTTACAGGAGAAGCTCAACAAACAGTCCACTAATAGGCAACATGGAGTGCATATTGACTTGGCCCAAGAGCTCCTTGAACATAAGAAAATTATTTCACTTTAATCTCTCCATGTCCCATAGAGCTAGCATAGGACCCACTACAGTACAGATACTGGAAAGGATTTCCTAGGTGAGTGGGAAATCCACTTGGATGGGCAAGTGGAGACTAAAGATGTTTAGATGGATGCGTGGATGGGTGGATAGATGGACAAATAGACTGACAGGTGTTTAGGTGGATAAATGACAGGTGGGAAAGTTGGGTATCAGGGTGGATAAATGTGAGATAGGTAGAGTGAATGGAGAGAAGTTGGCAGGGTAAGAGTAGAAGAAATAAATGTAGGGCACTACCCCCATTTTTACCTTTTTTTTTTCTGGACAGCTACAAGATGAAGTGAACCCAGAAAGCATTTAATCAGAAGTACAAATGCCCAAATGACCCAGAAACTCCACTTCTAAGAGCATGTTCTCTAGATTAATTCGCACATGGGTGGTGTGACCAATATAAAAGGTGATCCTGCAACACTTTGCAATAATAAAATTTGGAGATGGCTTTAGGCTGTATCATTCAGGCTGAAGTGTGAGCTCCCCAAGCAGGAGGGTCTTGTCTAGGGCCTCAGGCCTTAGAGCAGCACTTCGCCAGAGTAGTTGTTCAGATGTGAGTTGGATAAATGATTCATCAGTACCTTGGAATTCTGTGCAACCATTAAAAAATGAAAAGGGTCTTTATGTCTTGATATGGAATGAACTTTGAGATATTATTAAGAGAAAAAAAGCAAGGTCCAGATAATGTGTATAGAATGCAGTCAGTTTTATATTCTTTTAAAAGGAATATCAGGAGAGAGTACAAATAGATATTTGCTTCCCTAAAATGAGACCCTCAGGAGACTGATGACCCTCTCAGGAAGGGTATGTTAGGGCTGGGGACAGGGCCAGGATGCCCTTGTGGACTCTTCTTTTTGAACCACATAGATAAGTTGCCTTTTCAAGCACAAATGGAAGAGCAAGTTTCGCCCTAAGGAGCTCCTTGGAAGAGGAACAGGGATTTCTTCCCAAGGCCAGGGCCAGGCATGCCGCTGGTTCCCTCGCCCAGGGTGCTCGGGCTGGGCCGGAGAGCCAGGACACGGACACACACAGGCAGATACAGTCCAAGCTCCCACTAGCCACGGGGACTTGGCAGATCTCAGACCTCAGTTTCCTCATCTATAAAGTAGAGATAATTCTAGTCTTACAGAGTGTGCATGAAGAGAGAATGCAGGTGCCCAACATACGGAAAGTGCCTACTAAATGGGACCTTTGGTGACATGGCTGGAGATGAGGGACCTTTTGGGGGTGAGGGTGGGACTGAGGGTGGGGGGAAGCATCACAGGTCAGCAAAGGCCAGAGGCCAGAGGCCTCTATTCAGCACCTTCTGCAGACACCCAGACACCCATGTGTCTGCAGCCTGAAGTGCCCACTGGGTTATGGAAAGGCAAGCCCAGCCACCAATAGGCAGACTTCTGCTCTGGCCCAAAGGCCTGGCTGCCTGAGTGCGTGGACTAGAGCTGAGCACTGTCCCGCTCTCCTTCTGTCTCTCCAGCTCTATCTCCAGCTCTGCTGTCATGGCCTTCCTAGAGAGGTCTGGACACTCCAGGGGTTTTCTAGAGCTGAGGGAGCTACCTCCACTTAGTTTCACCACCTGGAAGGAAGTCTCACTCATGTTAGTTCAGCAAGAATGAGCCTGGGGATCGTGATGTCCATGTCCCCTGACCGCCCAGCCATGAAGTGGTGGTGAGAGCCCTGGTTCCTGGTCTGGACTCACACTGGCTCCTCTCTCTGAGTCTTAGTTTCCTTACCTGGTTAGGAAAGGAAAGTTGCAACTTTCCTTACCTGGTTAAGGAAACTAAGGGGACTGGTGCTAATTCCTGCCCTTCTTTCCCAGAAAGGCAAAGATGGGAGAATGGAGTTGTAGTTTATAAAGTGTGAAGAATTCTAAGGCATGGGGGATTTGGGGAGCATGTGGCACCTATGACAGGATCGCTGTACTCACATCACACATCACTGCACGCAGATCCCACCCACACGTGTGCATGCACATGCACACACCCACTGTGAGTGGGCGAAGCCCTGAACCAGGAATCTGAAAATGGGGTTGCCATCCTCACCACCACCACCTGACACACACGTGTGCAGAAATCCACGTACCTGAGTGTGCAGTTCCACATCCTGTGGGAGACAGGCCTGTGCAGTACTCACATCAGCCGTCCACAGGGAACACCCAGCAGTACCTGCTGCCTTCAGCCCGGGTGGGGCTCCCCGAGGGCTGCATGTGCAGAAGGGCTGGGCAGCTGTGGCCACAGTTCCTCCCTCTAGCACAGAGCTACCTGAGGCAGAGGCCACCATGGCTTGCAAAGAGCCCTGGAACCTGCTGGCAGCCACCAGGGCCAGAGGGTGGCTGTGAGGCCGGCAGTGACACCCACTCCCCTCTGTCTTCACAGGCTGGACAACGTTCATGGCTCTCCGGTAGAACCCAGCGAAACGGCCAGAATGAATTCTATGGACAGGCACATCCAACAGACCAATGACCGACTGCAGTGCATCAAGCAGGTGGGTGTGTGGCCCGGGCTCCCTCCTCCCCTGGAACAGCCAGGCCCAGCTGGCAAGCACAGGGCAGGCAGGCGGGCAGAGCTGCAGGTATGCTGACCACCCGGGGCAGCCAGGCACCCAGAGCTCTAGGGGGCGGTGGTAGGCAAGGGCCAACCGCCCAGGGCTCCCTGAGCACCCATCTCATCAGAACATTGCTGGCATGGACCAGCCTAATACTGGAATCAAATACCTGGTTCAAATGCTGGTTTTGCCCTATTCCTTCCCTTACCAGCTGTGTGACTGTGGGCAGTGGTGTGCCCTCTCTGGGCTCTGCTGTGTGCTCTGAGCTGTTGTGAGGATGCAGTGAAGGGCTTAATTTTCTCAGACCTAAGCTGAGCACCCCTCTGCTCCAGTGGTTCTCTGTAAATAGGAAAAGTCCTGGGAAATTAGGTCATCTTACAGAAAAGGAAAGTGAGGAACAGAGAGGTGTCGGGAGTTGCCTGAAGTCACACAGCCCAGCCCCACCAGTGCTGGGATGATCTTATCCCTGAAGGTAGTAAATTCCCAATGCTCACGTAAAGCTCAAGAGCCAATTCACCCGTCGGTATCCTGTCTGGATCGTTCAGAGGTGGCCCCCATTTTAAGAAGCCCTCAACCAGTGGTGGCCCCTTCATCCTCTAGGGCTCAGTCCCCTTGCAGCCCAGCATGGCCGCTTCCGTGCACAGACTCTAGAGTTGTCATTTCGCTCCAGGAAGGAGCAGATCTGGCAGAAAGGATGCAGGCTTTGACATGAAACAGACCTGGGCCCAAATCCTCACTCCTCCATGTATTCCCTGTGATCTCAGGCCTGTCCTGATATTTCTGTAGCCTCAGTTTCCCCACCTATCTAGGTGGACCAGTAAGGCCATCCTGTTAGGATGCTGTGAGGATATTGTAGGTGAAGCATGTAGCCCAGGCCTGACATTGGCAGGTGATCAGCTACTGCTGGTGGGGGCTATTATCCACTGTTATCCTCAGTGGCTCAGCAGCAGGGAGGAGAGTGCTGGGGTGAGACCCTGGCTTAAGTAGGCTTAGCGGGAAGCTCAGGTAACCAGGGGAGGCCAGTGGCCTCAAGACTCTGACGGGGCAGGGCTCACAGCCCCACTCCAACACAGCCTGCCCTCCCTAAACACCAGGGCCCAGTGGGGCTGAGGCTAGGCCGCAGGAATGAGGATCTGTGTCCTCTCACAGCGTCAAGGAGAGCTATCTCAGAAGCCTGTGCAGGGTCTGAGGAGAGGAAATTGAAGACGACTTGTTACAGATTGAACTCAGCCTGAACAGCTCTCCCAAATGCCAATTACGCCTCTGCTCACGGTCACAGAATAGAAACCAGACGATGCACTCCCTCCTCCCCTGCCTTCCCTCCTCCTTCTGGGGGCTCTGCAGGGCTCTATCCCAGCTCTGCCTTTGACCCAGTTTCTGCTGCCTATGAGGGATCAGCTGTCCGTGGCCTCCACCCTCCCACAATACAGTCATGTCCCCTGTGCATGAGCCCCTCTGTGCCAGGCACAAGCTCCTCCTGAAACCTGCTCACAGTTTGACTCTTCTCCCCAATTCTGGCTCTGCATATCCAGGAACCAGGGTGCCCTTTACTCCCTTGGGCCTCCCAGGGGTCCCACATGGGCAGATGCCCACCCGAGAGCAGCCATCTCAAAGCACGGCACTCGGGGCTTACATTTCCCAGTCGGCGAACCTGAGTCCCCATTCTGCCACTCACTAGCTACCTGACCTTGATCGAGTTGCCACTGCACCTCGCTTGATCTGTAGAAAGGGCAACATAATCACACCCAGCCGTTAGTGCTGGGGCAGCTGGAAGGCCAGGGACTGCCTTAGCTGCCCTTCCCCAACCTGTCCCAAATGCACGCGTGCCTGCACACACGCATGCACACACATGCACACACATGCACACATCTCTGCTCTTGGCCAGAGAGTGGCACATGTGTGAGGATGCCCTCTGGCATCCTCACCTAGCAGTACCTCCTGCCTTCAGCCCAGATGGGGTTCCAGATGCCCCCTGGGTCATCCAGAGGTCCCTGCATCCTCTACATGCCCCCACCGCTGCCACACACACACATCCAGTCAAATACAGCTCAGGGCTGACATCTGTCTGCTCTACTCCATAGCTGCCCCAGAGGGTGGCCGTGGCTGGCTGAAGACTGTTGATTCTCAGACGTCCCATATCCTAATGAGAAAAGAAAGACGAGCAGGTCTGCATGCTCTGAGGATGACGGAGGTGCTGGCTGTGCCCACCTCTGCCTGGCCGGACTTGGCTCCCATTTGGGGCCTCATAGTCTCAGGTTCCTGGCCCTGCCTCACTGCTACAGCGCAGAAGTAGAAGTGAGATGAGCAGGTTGGACCTGAGCCAAACCCTGTCTTCCCTCCAAAACCCTGTTCTTGCCATTGCTGGCCCTCACTATCCCCCAAGCACCTCTGTGCACCTCCCTCCAGGCCTGCAGCTCAGCTGCCTTTCCACCTTTTCAGCCTCTGGTACTAGGAGAACCAGTGCCCTCTCTTCAACGTGCCCCACTCAGAGGTCACAGGCATGTGCAAAGCCATGCGCATCTGGGTTTTATGTGCAAAGTTAATTCCTACACAGCAGCTTCCCCAAACCCCAGGTGCCCCTCTGAGCAAATGCACTCCCCACCTCTGAGCCCCACCACTGCGTGGGCCCACAGCTACCTCACCCATCTTGTTCTTTCTCCCTTGAGCCACAGGCCCTGTGGGGTGTATATCAGATCTCCTACCAGACTGAGCTCCTTGGGGGCAGAGGATGTGCTGTGTCCACCTCTAAGTCAACAAGTCTAGCATAGGGCCCAGTCCAGGGGGGCCCAAGTATGTTGCAGGGGGCCAAGGGAGGGGTGGACTGATAGATGGATAGCTAGGGGAATGAATGGATGGGTGGGTGGATTGACATGTGGATGGGCAGCCAGGTGGGTGAATGGTGGGGGAATATAGATAATGGATGGATCAATGGACAAATGAATGGATGAGTGGGTGGTTGGATAAATTCTGGATGTATATGGAGTAGGTAGATGAGTGGATGATGAGTGCTGGATAAAGTAGTGAATGGATGAATGGGTGGGTGGGCAAGTAGATGGGTGGTAGATGAATTGATTCATTTTTAGATGGATTGATGGGTGGATGGATAGACAGATCATTTGATACATGGATTGATAAGAAGATGATTCATCACTTGGTCTGGGTAGCCGATCCCTGATCCAGGGCATTGTGTCCCCTTCTCCTGCCTCAACCAACTCAGCAACCAGTGGATATAACCCAGATCTTCTGAGAAACTGTAGAGACAGGCAGTCTTTCTGGTAGGAAATGGGGTAATCGTTTATAGCCACAGTCAGGGAGGATTCTGCCTATGATTCAAATCAGTACTCTCATCCCCAGACCATCAAAGGCTGGCCAAGCTCACAGCCCAGCACTGGCCCCTCCACATGCCACTGGGGACCTGGTCTGAACCACAGATGGAGTATCATTTGGACACTTATATGATTAAATCACTTACCATTTCTGTGTGGGCCTAGCCTCAGGCCAGACTTTGCGTTCCAGAGGTGAACGGGATGCTATTTCTACTTTCAAGGAGCGTGTAGGAGAAACATGGAACCATACTGAGTTCCAAGCAAACACAGCAATAGCAGCCTCTACCTGGCACCCAGTCTGTAATGGGGATGGCACTGCATATATTGTTTCTAAACTTTGCACTGCAGCCCTGAAAGCTGTCACCACCCCAGTTTACAGATGAGGGATCTGAAGCTCAGGAACATGCCCAGGGCTTCATGGCTTGATGGCTGAGACAGGGTTTGGCCCAGGTCCATCCTGCTCATCTCACAGCATCACCCAGCTTCTCTGTGTACTCCAGCCACCTCGTAGTCAACGTGTGTGACAAAAAGCACAGTGTGGGGAGGGGGCTTGGCCGAGGTCACAGAGCTACTGAGCAGCAGCCACTGAATGGGATATATGACATTCTTTCTACCAATGAGTTGTACCCACAAATGCCCACCCAGAGCCCAAGCTGAGGGCTAGATCCATCAGCGGGGGTAAGGGTGGAGAAAGAAGCTCAGAGGTAGTCTGGCGAGACATGGAAGGCTGGGTGCTTGAAACTGGACCCCTAAAGACTGGTCTCAGAGGCCATTTGTAAGCCCAGAGTCCCAAAGGGGGTTGCTGAGCGAGGGGGTGCTATGGGCGGGCAGCTCTGAGAACAGCATGTGGTGGCTACTGACCCTGCTAATTGGGTGTGACATCACGTAAATAAACGGAATAACTCGGTTAGCAGTAGGAAGCTGCTGGGCAGGGAATTAGCTGATTTGCATGGCTTTCCATGTGGAGCCCAGATGCCACCCGTCACTCAGGGAGGGTGGGGGCACATTTTAGAGACAGGGCAGGAGGCAGAGGTGAGGACCCACTGCTGCCCTCTGAAAGGGCATGTTTCTATATGTGGCAGTTCCCCCGTCTTCTCAAATCCAGTGCAGGCAGCTCTGCCTTTGCAGAGGGAGCTCTGTGTGCAGCCAGCTGAGAGCTGCCAAGTGCAGCTGTGCTTCTAGGGGAGCCTTTGGGAGACAGGGCCAAGGGCAGCCCCACGTGGGAGCACCCCACGTGCCAGGCGCTTCGCCAGGGGCCGTCTGAGCCTCATCTTGTTTTATCCTCCCCGCAGCACCCCCCCCCCCGCCCCTGTGACCAAGGGCCGTGTTGCCACATGCTTGCCCTCTTCCTTTCCTTCATCTCTCCTTCCTTTTCTCCCACAGAGAGAGGATATTCTAATTCATTTCACTGTCTTCCATTCATTTTTAAATTTTGCCTTGCATGAGCCACATTGTAAAATCAGTCAGGAAACTTTAGGCAAAAGACACAAAAATTCCCACAGCCAAGCTGCGATATCATCCCCATTTTACAGATGGAGCAGCTAAGGCTTGGGGTGGGGGACTGTCCTAGGTCAGCAGCTAGTAGGAGGTGAAAGCAGAGTGCCCCACAGGGGCTCCTCCAGTACATTCCACCCCCTCCCTAATTCTGAGACCCAGCAGCAACTAAGACCCCCTCTCTGCCTGGGCTCCAAGGTCTACTGATGCTGCAGGTTGGGATAGGACAGCTGCCCCGGGAGAGCTACTGTTCCCTCACCAAGGCAGCCAGGGGCCCCAGGATGTGCCACCATTCCCTTTGCAGCTGGCTTACTCCCCAGCCCTTGTGAATACCCTGTAAGTGTCCTGCTGGAGGTCCACAATCACACCCAGTTGTGGAAGCCCAGCTCTGCCCCTAACCTGCTCCAGAACCCAGAGCCAGTCATTAGCCTCCTGGGCTCAGCACTTAACTCAGCATGGCATAGAAAGATGTGGATAAATATAAGAGAATGAAGGGGCTAGCCATGGAAGCCAGCCCACCAGCCCTGTGGCCTGGGTCTGAAGCAGAATCTAGAGACCATGGCACCAAGATTCATTCTGTTGACTCAGATCCCCCAGCTGGGAGGGGCCTGAGCTCAGGCTGGGAGCCTACACAGCAATGCCAGCTGCCCCAGAGCCAAGCTAAACTAGGCCCAGGAAATCCGGGTTTGGGCAACTGGGGTTGCTGAGCTGCATACACCAGACCAGGGTATGTCAGTAACCAGGGCACAGTGTGCTGGAGTCCACTGCCCAGCTGGGTTTGGCCTGGAGGCCTCTTTGATGCCCCCCTGTCCCCACCCTGTTTAACTGTGGCCGAGTTTGCTCCGAAGACAGAGCTGGTGGGCATCCAGACCTGAGCTATGGTGGTGGTGATGGTGTTAGCAAGAAGAAATCTCCAGGGCCTCCCTGTCCTGGCTGAGGGAGTGCCAGCCCCCAAGTATGGGAGCTGGATGCCCACCTCCTGAACTCTGCAGGGTTTGCCTCCTCCATTAGCCAGCATCCTAAAAACACTCTACTATTTAATATTATCCCCTTTCTCTAGACCTTAGTTTTCCTATCTTTGCAAAGGGGCTACTAATCCCCATCCTGCCAGGGATTAGGGTTGGGTGGCGATGCAAAGGGAAAGTGGGTGAGAGAGAGGTGGAGACGACTCATTAATCCCAGCCTGCCGCTTTTTGCCAGGCTTTCCCCCCCTGAGACCTGGCGCCTTCACTGCCCCAGATCCCCACATGCTAGCCTGTTGGCCTCATTCCTGGAGCCTCATGCTGCCCTTTCCCTCTCCCACAGCACTTACAGAACCCTGCCAACTTCCACAATGCCGCCACGGAACTGCTGGACTGGTGTGGAGACCCCCGAGCCTTTCAGCGTCCTTTTGAGCAGAGCCTGATGGGCTGTTTAACGGTGAGTCTGCACCTTCCCCAACCTGTGCTCACATCCAGGGAGGACTGCTGGGAACTTGTGTGCCTATTCAGGCACCAGGGAGGCTGCAGGGAACAGCGGGTGATAGAGAGGAAGATACTGCTGCCAGAGGGGATGGTCCTTCTATGTATACCCACAACATACATACACCATCAGGGAACCTCGTCTGCTGAAGAGACTTAGTCCTCAAGATTATGTGGGTTCCCCACACTTGATGAGAAAGACATGACCTACTTTGGGGGAGTTCTAAGTCTAGTGGGGGTAAATGTGTAGTGGGGTAGTGGGGGTAAATCATAAGCAAAGCAGAGACTCTTAAAGGATATTCAGGCATTCTTTTATCTAGTCATTCATTCATCTACTTGGGCAAACATCTATTGAGCTCTTTTTGTAGACATCCATTCATCTATCTATCCATTCCTGTAAGTGTTTATTGAGCTGCTATTATATCCATTCGTCTATCCAGATAAACATTGATTGATCATTTATCATGTACGATCCCCTCTGTTAAGTCCTGGGAAATCAAAGATGAGTAAGACTTGGCCAAGCCTGATTTCCTCTTCAGTGAGGGAGACAGATGTAGAAAGAGGTGGCTGAGAGAATCGGGGACAAAGTAAAGCAGCACAGAGAAGGGAATCGTGTCTGGGGGGCAGAGCTGGTCACCAAAAACTGAGAAAACACATCTGCAGGAATCACAGAGTAGTGGAGGGTAGTGAGCACTTGATGAGGATGGTGAACAGTGTGTGAAAAGGCCCGGACATACAGCAGAACCTAGAGAACTGAAATTCACTCATCTTAGTAAAGGTCTTGGGTACAGACTGAGCAGAGGCCAGGTCCAGAGCTTGTGGAACGATTTGCTAAGCTTAGGAACTTGCCATCTGACAGACACATGGAAAGAGCTCACAGTTTGCGAATGTCCCCAGCCACATGACCTGTATCCATAAATGTGAAGACCTCAACAGCCAGTGAGAGCAGCTGCTCAGAGGGCACTGAGTCAGGTTTGAAGGGAATGTGGGTAAACAGATTGCTGGGGAGCCCAGCTACCCCAAGGCTTGGAGAAGAGAGGCCAAGAGGGATCCCTGGCCAGGCAGGAGCAATAGGTTAAGTTCAAGGGGCAATGTTTCCTCAAAAGCTCCAGACAGGAGAGAGGTGAAAGGCCAGGCATGGCCCTAGCCTGGGGCAAGAGGAATAGTGACATTCACATAGGCCATCACTGCAAGACCCTCTGAGCCTGACACCGAGCTTGGCCCCCTGTATATGACTCCCCATTGAATCCGCACACCCATTCTATGAGGCTGGTCCTGCCAACATCCCCATGTTATAAAGGAGAAAATTGAGACTTGTTGTGACTGATTTTCCAAGATGACACCACCAGTTAGAAGTGGCTCTGGGACTCAAACCAAGACCCTCTGCCTCTAGAGGGGATGGCCAGTCCTTAGGGATGTCAGTTAGGGGTATAGCTGAGGCCACCCCAGGGCTCCTCCATTTGTCCAAAGCCAACATCATGTGGCTCCCTTGGCGCCACCAAGTCAAATCAGGAGGCCACCGGCACTCCCAAACCTCCTCACCTCCAGCCCCTGGGGCACCCCTGCCCTCCCCCAGCTCCCTTAATCCTCTTTATGGGGATCCTGGTTCGGGCTAAGCCCCACAGGCAGGGACAGATGTTTCCAGAGGCCCCCTCTCTCCATCCCAGCTGCTGGCAGCCATAAGTGAAGGAGGAGGTGGGGACCGTGCACAAGGTTGCCACAATCCACCAGCAGCCTGCCCGAAGCTGGGCCCTGCCTAGGATGTGGGGGCTTGAGGCTAAATCTAACAATGCCCCTGGCCAGGCTGAAAGGGCAAGTGGGCACGAAATGACCGGTAACTGGCCCTGCCCAACCCTGTCATTCATCTGTTCATTCAACAAACAAGTCCCTGCTGTGGGTCAGGTACCATGCTGGCACCGAACAGAGTGCAATGAGCATGGTGGGCCAATCTCAAGCTGCTTACCTTCCAATAGGAGAGGCTGACACTAAACACATAAAAGAATAAATAAGGGCACACATCAGGGCCCTGTGAGAGGGGCCAGAATGGTGATCAGGAAGTCTCCTAAGGAGGTAACCTCTGGCTGAGACCTGCATAGCGAAGAGTCAGCCATGGGAGGATGAGAAGGAAGAGTGCTCCAGGCAGAGCAATTGCTAGTGCAAAGGCCATGAGCCTTGATTTGTTCAAGGAAGAGAAAGAAGTCTCAGATGGCTGGAACACAGGAAAGGGAGAGGGATACAGGTTTGGAGAGGGAAGCAGAAACCAGGCAACAGAGGGCCTGCAGACTCAGGGAGATGAGTTTGGGTATTATCTGAAGGGTGATGGGGAGCCCTTGAAGGGTGTTAAGTAGGTGAGTGCTGGGATGTAGCTTGCGTGAGGATAGGAACTCTGAAGGGGACATCCTCACTGGGTGGGATGGAGGGATTACGGAGGGCTTCCTGGAGAGCTCGTGGGATCTGACCGGATTGCCGTGGCTTTCCAGGGAAACTTGGAAACTGTGTGGCCAAAGGCACAGTGCCAGCTCTGATGGGCCCTTCCTTATGGCCCCACAGCTTAGGGCATATACTCAGCAAATGGCCAGCTTTGGCCTTCACTCCTCCAGCCTGCTGCTTAGCTAGAAAGGGGCCCTTGGCCCACAGGCCACAGCCACAGAGACCTGAGTCTGACTGTCCCTTGGAGTTCAGTAGAACCAGCAACAGAAAGGGTGAGTTGCTGGTGGGGTGGGGTGGGAGTGGTCCTGGAAGACATCCTGTGCCCAGGCGTTTTCCTGGGCACCGTCTCCTTGCATCCTCCTGAAGACCCTGCAGGTGGTCGGGGAAGGGAACATCACCTCAGTTTTACAAACAAGGCAACTGAGAGAAGGAGCAGCTTGCCACAGTCCCAGGCTGGTACAACTGAGCCCCCAGGAGCCACATGGCCCTGCAGCCAGTCCTCCCATTCCCCTGGGCATCCTCTGCCCCAGCCGAGACACATGGGGAGGGATGGGTTGGGAGAGGTCAGAGACCCCACAGGGCCTAGGCTGGGTGATGCTCGGTGATGCTGGGTGACATACACACATACCCCCCCCAGCCAGGTGGCAGCCCGAGCACACCAGCCTACTGCCATCCCCTGGGTGACCTCTGGGAACAAACTCCTCTGGATCTGGCTTACTAGAGGATATAAATTAAAAACCACTTAGCCTCAGCTAGTAAATGGACACATTTTGCCATACTTGCTGCTTCTTCCCTCCCTAAGGTGGAGCATGCTTGATAAGCTCAAGGGACAGAAAAAAAGGCTCAGGTGGCCAGAGCACAGGAGGGAGGAGAAAATATGGGAGGCAGGAGAGGGAGACAGACACCAACCGGCAGGTGGACAGTGCCCTTCCTATGTCTCCAGGGAGGGAGTTCCCCCAGCCTCAAAGCACCCACTGCTAAAGCCGCTGCGCATGTCCACACAGCATTCCCTGAGCTGTGCCTGGTCCCAGCTGTCTCCCTTACAAGGGTGTCCTTTTGTGCCCATTCCACAGATGAGGAAACTGAGGCCCTGAGAGGTTAAGTCACTTGGGTGACGTAGAACAACTAGTAAGTGGTAGAACCCGAACCTAGTCTCATGTCTGACTCCAAAGTAGCAACAGCCACAGAAGCTACCTGGCCCTGCGCTGAGAATGGGTGCAATGTGGGAAGTGAGGGCTCTGTCCTGAAGGCCTTAGGGCACAGCCAAGAGACAGAACGGGGACACGTAGAGGTGTCAGAGCCCATACTACACACAGCCCTGGGACGGGGGGCAACCTTGCACCTTTACAGAAGAACGTGAGTCTCAGAGAGGTTAAGTAACTTGTCTTAGGTTGTACATTACAGGGTGGAACAGGTTCGGAACACAGGCCCCGTGTCCCCAGGTCTCCTGACTGCCTCAGAGCATGTCAGAGTCCAGTTCCCCGCCAGAGTGCAGCCAGCAGAGGGCAACAGTGCTGCAGCCACTCACTGCTGGCCTTTGTGATGGAGGGTCTTTCCACCCGCAGGACCTTCACTGAGGGCACCATGAGGCGGAGCAGGCCTCTCTGAAGCACCACAGCTGCTCAGTTGAGTCCACCCTCCCCACCACTGCCAGTCAGACCCACCTCACAGGACTCGTGGGGTCCCCACGCACTCTAGAGTCCCAGGGTCCAGTTTGCTCACTGTGCCACGAGGCCCTGCCCTCTCTGGGCATTGGTAAAAGGAGGCTGTTCTTGCCAGTGATGCTTATTAATGCCGGGGCTCAGGGCACTTGGTGGCGAGCAGACATTCATTCCCTTGTGTCCCTGCAGGACAGTCCTTATACCAGCACCAGGCCCCTCTTGCTCAACTTAGCTAGCTCTTTTTAAAAAAACCAGGGCAACAGGATTAGCCAGTACTGGTCAAACAGGGACCTTTGCCTTCCTGCCCTCAACCCAGGGCCTGGGGGTTCTCCAAGCAGGTTAGGAGTTATGGCCTTAACTCTTTGTGGGCTAAAGAAAAGGTCTCTCTTGGAAAGAGCCCAGACTTTGCAGCCTAATTGCCCAGGACTGCATCCTGGCTCTCTCACAGACAAGCTTTGTAACATTGAGCTGTTATTTATCCTCAGCTTCCTCGTTAGCAAAACAGAGATAGATAATACCACCTTCATGGAGCTATGATGAGGATTTAGTGCTTCCTGCTGACAGAGCATTTACTGAGTCTTTGCACCTGGGAACCAGCATTCTCTCATCATAATACTCTCCTGTGTTTCCCACAAGCAGCAGCCTCACTGATGCAGCAGTCCAGACATACCCTGTGCTCACTCACGGCCACCCCAAGGCTCTCCTTCCAAAGAGAGGGCAGCACAGTCAGCATCAGCGCAGAAGTGACCCTTCCAGAACACTTCTCCCTGCTCAGAGTGTCTGTCCCCGGACCAGAAATACTCAACAGGCCATAAAGAATTAAGGGTCCTGGTTTTTCTACTTGGACAGTGAGATTAACAGTGAGGATGCCCTGCCCTGGGGTGGCTCAGACTCTGGCTCATGGTGTATGTGGTGGTGGCGGGGGGGCAAGTAGAGCCCGTGGGAAAGAGGCCTAGGGGGGCAGGGAACGGAAGACTTCTGCATCAGGGGCTTCTGTTCACAGTGGAGAAGCTGAACAAACATTCAAACCTAAGAAAGTCTTTTTTCCTCCCTGCACAGGGAGTTCCCAGGAGATGGGGTGGGGCAGGAGGCAGTGCCTGGTTCCAAGAGGCTCCGGTGGTCCTAGAACAGGAATCCAGTAGCGCCTCCCTGGTCACCACAGATGCTGTCTCCAGGCCTCAGGATTTTAAAGGAGAAAGTTGGCCTAGATTAATGGTTTCCTCACTCTTTTTAGCCCTTGAGCCCTCAAAACAAACCCCTACAAGATAAAGCGGCAAATTGGGAACTATTCTAATGGCTTCAAACCCCATGGCAGCCCAAGGCCCTCTGAGGACCTCCCTCCAAGTGCTTCTGGAGCAGGTGGTCCCTAGGGGCTTGACGGTGGAGTCTTCCCTTTCTCAAAAGAACGAGCCCCCACATCTGGGAGCACTCCTTTCCCAGCTAGCCAGAGCCGCCCCAGCTGCTTCCTGAAACTATGTTTTCCAAGATCCTTCCTTCTTAATAAGAAAACTTAATTTCACTGCTGTTAATGAGGAAGGTGGGCAGGAAAGAGCAGACCTGGCAGTTGCAGGGCACCTGGGAATGGGTGGGGAAGGAGTGAAGCTGGATAGGTGTGAGCCTATGGGGCCATCCGGGGGGCCTCAAGAGCACCTGTCCCACACTGCCCATGGGACTGACCCCTCCCAGACCCTCGCCTCTCTCCCATCCAGCCCACACATCTGAGGTTCACTAGGAGATGGGTGAGACCTCCAGGGTCCAAATACAAGGCCGTTGGCAAACTTGCACAGACACTGTCTAGAAGCCTCCTGTGTGCTAAGGCAGTGCTGGCGCTGGAGACAAACCCCAGACTGTGCATAAGGACCCTGCGGTTTCTGAGAGGCTGCAGGACACCTGGCACAGAGCCGAGCCCTGAGGCGCCTCAGACATGTCCGTCTGGGGAAGCCTTAGCGGTCTGTCAGACAGCTCCAAGCTGAAGCTCCATGGGCGCCGTGTGTCCTAAATGGTGCTTCTCCTTTGGTGCAGATTCTCACTTGGGAGGGGCCGCCGAGGGGCTGCTGCTGCATGGGAACTGTGCTTGAAATAGTGAGGGTAGCAGATGCCCCACGATGGTGGTTCAGGAGCTCTGTGAGGGGTCAGTGAGACGTGGTGGGCGTGGGAGACTTCTTGAGAGCCAGGGACTTGGAAGGGCCTTTGAAGAGCTACATTGGTGGGGCAGAGACCCCAGCCTGGGGCTGCCCAAAACATGGTGGTACAGCATCCCCGGCCCACTTCCAGAACGTGGCTGAAGTTGAGTCCTTGAAGACAGCAGGGCCTGGGCTCTGAGGCCAGGCCCACCACCAGCCTGGAGCTCCTGAGGGCAGGGCTGGGATCCAGGACCTGCCTCTGAGGAGCTGCTTACCCCTGCTTGCTGAGTGACCAGTGAGGCACAGTGTGGGTCCAGCTATGCCTGACAGTGGAGACCTGCCTTAGCCTGCCCGCCTCACCTGTTAAATAGGCACATCCCCCACTCTGGGCTCAGCATCCTGGTGCCGGCCTTGACTCACCCCTGCCCTTCCTCCCCATCTTGTTGGCAGGTGGTCAGTCGGGTGGCAGCTCAGCAAGGGTTCGACCTAGACCTTGGCTACAGACTGCTGGCTGTGTGTGCTGCGAACCGAGACAAGTTCACTCCGAAGTCTGCCGGTAGGTGACCACTGGGGACCTCGCAGATGTCATCGGGAGGTGGGAGGGGAACCCCACTCTACCCAGTGCTGTCTGCAACCCCATCAGCTGGCGCCTCTGTTCGCTCGGGTGTGATGTGAGCTCCGAGGAGCGGCAGCACACCCACCAGGCTCTGGAGCCCATGGTGGGGCTTGTCCCTCATCTCAGTGTTCTTACCTGTGGGGGCCCCTCAGGGCCAGCAGAGGACCCAGGGCACACTGCACCCCAATGATAGGCTCAAGGGGATGTGCGTCGTCTCATGTCGTCAGCACAGTGTCCCTGTGACTTAAGCACTGTTACAGATGAGGAGACTGAGGCTCAGAGAAATTGAAGAGGTTTTCCCAGGTCACATAGCTGGAAAGTGGCAGAGCTGGGATTTAAGGCCAGAGTCAGCATTCTTAACCCTAACATTCCATTGTATTCATTCAAAAAATGTTTTATTTAAAATAAAACACAAAATAAAAATAAATTATACATTCAGGGTTCTAAACGCCTGCTCAGCATAGTATCGTCTGTTGCAGTGGCGAATGGATTCTCATCCATTGCATGAGGGCTCCTGACCCTATATAAAACAGAAGCCAAAGAAGATGCTGGGCAGCAGCCTATCTGGAGGGCATTAAGTACACTAAAGAGATACACTTTTATATCTCCTGCCATCCTCCTTACCTTGCTTGAGCAGGGAGTGCAGTGTAAGCTCGAACGCCAACAGATCTGTGACAGCCGAGCCTGCCACTTGCTGAGTGTGTGGTCTCTGAGCCTCGGTCTATCTCTTTGGGCAGGCAGGAATGACCGTGAGACCTACCTTGCAGGGGTCATTTCAGAAATCTGTCTAGATTTCCAAGCAGTGTCTAGATGTTGTTAACATTCTTTATGTTACAACAATTCATTGGAAAAGGAGAAAAGCAATTACCTCCTCTGTGTAAGAATAAAACAGATGTTTTCTCTGAATTTGTCAATCCGTTTTTTGAAGTATATATAGAAACAACCTTAATGAAAGTGTTTAAAGGACATCTCATGATGTGTTTTCATAAATCTGTTTGACCCATAATCTCTTGAATGTGGGTTATTGATCTCTTCCATGTATGTTTGCAGTCAATGCACATGGATTGTGGGTCACTGATAAAAGGTGTACAACGTTCTCGTTAGCCAATAGCTACTCTGAGATCCTTGAAGTGCCAGCCTGCGTTGGGATATTGCTATTGAATTGAGCTGCTTGCCAGAAAATAGTCTTGGAATCTCATAAGCGATGTCTATTCCTGACAGAATCTGTAGTTATTAATAATAACTTGAGTAAATACAATTTTGACAAGGTAGAAATTGCTGCTTCTCCAAGACATTTCCAGTGAGCGGCTGCTCTATGCAGGCACCTGGCCAGGTCCGGGTGTGGATAAGGAGTAAAACAGACATGGTCCTTCCTACCTTGGGAAACTTAGACTGGAGCAGGGGTTGGCAACCTTTTTCTGTACAGGGCCAGGTAGTAAGTAGTTCAGGCCTTGCGGACTATATAAAAGCAACCATCAGTGGATAAATAAATGTGTGGCTGGTTCCAACAAAACCTTATTTCTGAAAGCAGGTATTAGGCTATAGTTTCCTGACCCTGGTCTAAAGGGAGAGAAAAACGTTGATCAAACAATCACAGGTATATGTGGGTGTGTGCATATGCATGTGTATAAATTCAAGTTGTGATAAGTACTGCCATGAAGAAAAGGCAGAGACACTATGACACCACTCATGGAAGGCTTTGCTGAGACTCCAAGGCTGAGTGAGAGTTGAGTAGGTGAAGGAAAAGAGAAAGAGCTTCTTCCCAGGCAAAGGGAATGGCCTGTGCAAAGGCCGTGAGGTAGAAGGGAGCATGGCTTTTTGGCATAACTAAAAGAAGGGCAGTGTTTCCAGAGCCCAGAGGCAGAGGTCAGCAACAGTTAGACACACAGGGCCTGGCCTGAGGATTGTGGCCTTTGTCCTAAGAGTAATGAGAAGATGGCTAAATTTTCATTTTGCAAAGATCACTCCAGCTGCACATGAAGAACAGATTGCATGGGGCAGGGGATGGGAGGAGGTAGTGCGGGCAGTGTGGATGCAAGGAAGCAGTTGGCAGATTGCTGGGGATGTGAGGATGAGGATGATGGTGTCTGCACCAGGAAGGTTCCACTTCCTGGGGAATGGAGGGAAGAAAAGTGGATAAATCCAAGGGATATTCCAAGGACTTCAGAGGCCTCTGTTCTCCTGCACCAGGATCTGGGAAGCTACTCCATCTGGGAGAGTGTTTCACCTCACTCAGGTCTTGCTAGCACAGCTCTGCCTCCTCTCAGTGTTATTTCCAGCACCACTTCTCCTGAAACAAGGGCTTTGTTCTTTCCTCCATCTGCATCCCGAACTGTGCTAAACTTTACAGTCTATAAAGTCCTTTCCTGTGCATTGTCCATTTCCATGTCACATGACATGCCCTAGGCACCTGAGGTGTGTCCTCAGTATATCCATTCTGACACTGAGAACACTGAGACCCAACAATGCCTGTAGCTCAGCTATCACTTATTCATAATTCCCTTATTAGGAATCAAACCCTCATCACACTAACAGCCACGACGAGTCACTTTCACAGGCCACTCCCACCCCCTTGGGAAGTATAGGTCTGAGTGCTCAAGATACCAGCCATGTCCCTGCTTGGGAAGGCAGGGTGCCCATTTGAAGGGGAAGCTGCTGGTTTCATTAGCTGGATAGGAGTATGCTGGGGGCACTCTGGACCATGAGGGGGGAAGCCATGGGGAGCAGAGCAGTACCCCAAATTCCCGAGACGACTCCAACACTGGCCCCTGCCTTCACCACGGTGTCCACCTCCTGGACCTGGGGCCTCACCGTTAAAGGATTATATGCCTATCCCATAGGCTGCATGTGAGGATTAAATGAAATTCCCTGATCATTTAGGTGAGGGGCCAGCTAATACCTGGCACACAGTAGGTACTGAATAAATACTACTTCCTTTTCTGCTTCTCTGTCTTTTCTCCAGCATGGTCCCCACCGTCTCTCAGGCCCTTTCTGCCCAGCAAGGCTGTTTCCCACTGCATTCTTTCCCTGAGACTCTGTGGGTAGGAGCGTGGCCTGTGGTGAACCCACCTCTGGATGCAGCTGTGAGGGTCCACATGGCCTCAGCACATGCGCACTCATGCGTGTGTGTGTGTGTGTGTGTGTGTGTGTGTGTGTGTGTGTGTGTGTAGTGCCATGCCAGGCACAACTGGACCTGCCCGGGCCTCTCCCAGCCAGGCCTCTGCAGTTCTAGAACATACTGTGTCCTCAGAGCTCTTGCAGCCTCCCTGCCCTCCTGCCTTTCTGTATCTGTCTGACTCTGTCCCCACTCTGACTGACTGGCTTATTCAATTTTTACCTTCCCATGCCCTCCCTCTCCTTTCTCTCTGAGGGTCTCTGATGTCATATGTCTGTCTCTCTGTCCTTCCCTTTCCTGCTGCCTCTCAGACTTTCTCCCTGTGTGGGGAGTTTGTGTGCATGTCTGTAGTGGGGAGGGGGTGTCTGCCTGTCTGTGGAGTGTGTGTGTGTGTGTCGACGTGTGTGGTGGTGAGCATGTCTGTGTGTGTGTATGTGTGTGTGTGTGTGTGTGTGTGTGTGGAGAGAGAGAAAAGGCAGGAGGCTTGTGGGCATGTGTGTGTGTGTTTGTGTGTGTGTGTATCTATGTGTCTCTCCTTTCTCTCCACCTCTGCCTCCCCACCCCTCTCCCACTCCATCTCCCTGTCTGTCTCTTGTCAGGAGGCCAAGCTGGGGCCAGACGAGGGCCGGTGGGATGAGATCATGCAGAGAGGAGCCGTGCTTTGTCAGGAGAGATGGCGGTGAGCTGGGCTGGGCTGTGCACACCAGCATTGGTGGGCTCTGGAGCAGGAGCTCAGGCCTGGGGGCAGTGCTGTGTGTGTGTGTGAGAGAGAGAGAGAGAAAGAGAGACAGAGACGGAGCGTGAGCGCAGAGCAGACACTGCAGCAAACCGCCAAGTCAGGCGTCTCCACGTGGGCCCCTCAGATACCCAGCCCCCAGCTCTTTGTTCTGGTGCAGCCTTTAGCCTGTGTGCTCGCACACAGGAGCACGCGCACATGGTCAGAAACCTCCTTGTCGGGAAGGTCCTTAGGGGCCTGCTGCTCCCTCCCCTGCCTTAGCACAGAAGGTCACTTGCAATGTGCTTCCCCTCGTCACCCTGAGACCATAGCATGCCCACCTGCCCCCACTCACCACCACGTGCCAGCTCTCAGCAATTTGGCAGGCAGCACTGAAATGTCAGCCTCCCCGGCACCAAGCGGGCCCACGCCTGCTGGCTACATAGGCGCCAAGCACCAGGCAGTCTCTGTGTCCGGGGTCCTCAAGAGCCCTCTGCATGCCTCAGCTACTGTCCACACTCAAATGACTCGTTGTTCACTCAGCTGACCCCTGTAAGCAGCCCAGTCATATTAAAATATTAGGATAGGAAATGTCAGAACCCAAGGATGGTGATCCCAGGGTCCAGAGAAGGGATGACCTGCCTCAGGTCACAGCAAAGCAGGGTGGAGTCCAGATGAGAGCCTTGGTGCCCACTGCCCATCTTCACAGTCCTCCTGTTTCTGCAGCTGGTCAGTGATGGCTCTGGGCTCTTGTCTGGGAGATGGGAGACACAGAGCTGTGGGCAGTGGAAAATGTGGAGAGGGCAGCAGGTATGGGAGATGCCAGGGCATCCCAGGGACATCCTGGGGATGAACCAGCAGGCATTGGAGATGGAACCAGAGAACTCAGGAGAGAAGACAGGGCTCGAAGAGGCAGCCACTGAAGCCTCTAAGGAAGAGGAGGCCAGTCTTCTGTAGGGAAAGACAGAGGGCAGATGCCAGTCACCCACTTGTGGGCTGGATGTGGCCTGCAGATCTCTGAGGTCCAACCTTTTGGTGGTTTTCACAAGTGCATACTAGTTGCCAACTTTTGCTCTTTGGGATATGGCACTGAGTCAAACACCTAGCTCC